ATCAATACCTCTATGCTGCTGCACACACACACTGCTAGGATTATCTCTCACATTCGGTCCCACTGCCTTTCCTTTGCAGACACCTGTGGTATTGCACACACACATAAACACCCTCTCTCTCTCTCTCTCTCTCTCTCTCTCTCTCTCTCTCTCACTCTCTCTCTCTCTCTCTCTCTCTCTCTCTCTTTCCATCTCACACACACACCTGCTCTCTCCCACCTCTCTGCCAGAGTGTGTCTCTTTATGAGAGGCCTGCTTGACGCCCAACTGTGAGGCTCTTTTTAATTAGAGTCCTGCTGTTAAGCACAGGGCTTGTCCAGTGGTCTCATCCTTTCCCCACCACCTCCTCACACCTACACACACACACACACACACACACACACACACACACACACACACACACACACACACAGCACCGCTCTGCTGCTCTCCCTCTCCATGTCCTCGTGGCCTGATTCACACTAAAGTATCAACATTTATTTAAATAGCTTTTATAGTTGCTCACAATTTGCATATCACAAAACCAGAATCCAAGTCAAATATTCATTATTCAAGTAATTTTAAATGAACTGCTTGGGATCAAATTGAACTCTGCAGCTGAAGTTTGATTTCATTCATGAGAAATAAGATAACAAGGAAAAAATCTACATATTTGAGTCAGGCTAACGCGGTGGTTGTTTGCGTGCCATAAAAAAAAAATCTGCATGTAACGTCTGAGCGAGGAAGATAAAGTATGAACATGAAGTTGTGTATTTCAGGCTGATTGCCTTTGTGAAGCTTACAGTATTTATCCAGCATGCTCAGGCTGCAGAATGGATTTTATGTTTTTGAGCATATAAACGGTATATTTGAGTCTCGAGGGACAACTTTTCAAAAGTAGGCTTCAATACGGCTTCTTCACCTCTTAGCTGACATCAAAAGGTTCTACATGGACTTTTAGGATTTAGATTTAAAGGTTTATTTTTGGGCTTTTTATTACGTTTGTAGAGACAGGACAGTGGATAGAGTTCAAAAGCAGGGACAGAGAGAGAGAGAGTGGGGAATGACATGCAGGAAAGGAGCCACAGGTCGGATTTGAACCCGGGCTGCCCGCTTGGACGACTATAGCCTTCGTACATGGGGTGCACTCCCCTTTAGGATTTAGAAGTTTAATCAACTTGATCAATATCACATTTTTTTAAAAGAAGGGAAAGGCAGAAAAACATCCTTTTGTTGGTAAACATCACATTTTTCTTCAGCTTCTCAGGGTGAAAAAAAACTTCAAAATAGGATGTTAACGCACATTTCATGATTTGAAATAATAGCAGGCCCACATGCCCTCACATAACAAGCTCATATGTGCAGTTATAGACAACCTTTTGCACAAAGTATTTCTGGAACTCAAGCTCCTCCACAGCACACATAACCTGCATTCCTTCATTTCCTTTTTTAAGCGAGGCCAACCCACTGTGAAAAAAAAAAAAAAACAGGTCTCTCTCGCATTCATCCATCCCCTTTCTTTTTTTTGCATCTGGTTGTTATAATCAAAGAGCCATTGTGTCGCGGTGGCCTCCTGTCTAAGCTGCTTTCATACGCTACTTCCACAATCACAGCTAAGTTGATTAGAAACAACGGTAAGTGGGTGGATATTATGTTGAATCAGCTTTGGAATTTCGAGCTGCCCAAAGCTGCTGCAGTGTGTGTGTCACCCGGTTCCCGGCAGAGGAGGGGATTACAAAACACACAACACAACATATAAATGCATGCCAACCTCGGTCAGAGATCTCCAGCAGGGTCTGAAACCAGCCATTCAGCTCCAGTTCCCAACTGAAAAGTTACAGTCTCTATAACTCACATTAGTTTGTAGCAATCACTTTGTCTGCATCTGTGACTGCTTGTCTTCAGCTTGATGTGGGAAGACAGGTTGTTTAGGACCGTGGAGAACGAGGGATGGAGAAAAAGCAGGGTGACAGGGGAGGGAGGCTGCAGCTGTTGCTGTGTGTAGTTTAGTGTCGGTCTGTTGTGGTTTTGGCAGAAATCACAGCAGAAAGCCCGAGAGAGGCACAACCCCTGTCGCCTTAATGAAAAGATAAAGTTAGATAGATCTGCCTTATCTTTTACTCCCTTTACCTCCGTGCTCTTTGTGATAAAGACCCCTCCAATCCCAGGGATTTAGCATGAAAGGCCGAAACAAAGCACTTTTTTTTTTTTCCCAGTGCCACCTTCCTTTTTCTTCCCCCACCTTAAGAGAAGCAAAAGTCGCTCCACTGAGAAACCTCTCTGTCTGCGTTTGTATCGACCCTTCCCCTTCCTCAGAGGAACAGACAAACCCCTGCTAGGGCTCTCTTTTCCTTCTGTTCTGGGGCGGGAGTTAATATTCCGATTGTTTTTTTCTGTGCTCGATCTGCCCAGAGTATCGGATGTTGCCAAAAGCAGAGAGGGGAAAAAACAGAAAGGGAAGGGGGGGAGCAGAAGGAGAAGAAGAATGAGCCAGAGAATGTATTTTGCTGAAGGACATTTGCAGAGGCAGCTTTTAACATCCCCTCCACCCGCTGCTACTTCCTCCTTTACTCCCCCCCTCCCCATCCCTCCTTTAACACACTTCTCCTTTTTTCTGCTCTTTAAATATTGAGAATCTTTGCAAATTCCTCTGGCCTCTTCTTTTTGATGCTCCTGGCCTCCCAACAGCTCAGCAGCCAAAATGCACTCGGAAGGGCTGACGTATGGCAACAGTAACAATTCCCCCCACTCCTCGCTGCCCCCCCCTCCAAGCCCCCCAACCTTCCCTAATAAACAGGTCTGAGCTCTGCCGGTTCCCAGGCCGCACCTCTTCCTGCACTCCCAGTGTTCTCCAGTCCAGAAGGCCAAGCTCTCCCTCTGGGCTGGCTCTGGCTGCTCATTTTCACTCCTAACGGGGGGTGGCTCTCCACAGGCCTGACTTTCTAACCCACCCACACACACACACACACACACACACACACACACACACACACACACACACACACACACACACACACACACACACACACACACACACCCGGCTGACTTCTGTCACTATATTCTTTACTTTCCACCATTCTCCCGCCTCCAGCTGCACACATCACAGCATACTAGTGTCCCCAACTTCCCCTTTTCTTTTATTGCTCACATGGCTGCATTTTAGATTCTATTTCAGATTTAGCTAACTAGTAGGGTGCAGGCGTCTGCGTTGTGGGTTTCTTAAAATAAAAAAAACCCGGCCTTAGTTTAGATACAGATAGAAAAGTGTTTCTCTTAAAGACTGCATTCCTGAGCGTGTCCACTTGTTGTTTCTCTAACAGGAAAAACTGTAAAAAAAAAAAAAAAAGCTGCTAAATTAAGCCGTTAAAGTTTTCTTCCAGGCTAACCAGCGGTCAAAACGCGGCTGGAGAAGTCTCCCCATCGCTTTCATGTAAAACAGGAGAGCGAATCCTGAGCAGCGAGCCAGTGCAGCAACTGAGATCATAGACGTGTTACTGCTTAACAGCCCGCTTTATGGGACCGGCTCTCTTTGTGTTTTAATGAGGAGGCCATGGATGGTCGGAAAGGCAAGGAGAAACACAGAGAGAGAGAGAGAGAGAGAGAGAGAGAGAGGGAAGATGAGGGATTAGACGAGATTGAGAAAGAATAAAAGATGGAACATTAGAAGGATGTAAAAAGGAGGTTTAATGTCCCTGTCTCTCTTCACGTCTAATTAAGAGTGAAAGAAGAGGCTGAAGGATCCCTGTTAAAGTGCTGCTCTTCATATTTCACACCTCAGGTACGCTCCATGACACACTTGTGTCACCTCTCCTTCTCCTTCTCCTCTTTTCTTTTCTCTTCTCTTTTCTCCTCTTCCAACTCAGACCAAGAACGCTTTGATTAAAATGACCGATTCTTTTAAGACTTTACTTTATAGCCTCCAAAACATAATAAATCCAAAGTTCCTCTCCAGGATATCTCAGACGAACAAGGCATTTTGTTGCAAACAAACTTGGACAGCTGGTTTGTGTGTGTGTGTGTGTGTGTGTGTGTGTGTGTGTGTGTGTGTGTGTGTGTGTGTGTGTGTGTGTGTGTGTGTGTGTGTGTGTGTGTTAGCCACATTCCTCTCTATATTTACCTCCCTCTGAAAAGTGTTTTTAGCCCCAAGTGCAATGGCATGAGATTGGCAGTTTGCTGTGTGCTGATAAAAAGTCACGATTTGTGTGAATGTGTGCATGTGCTCGCGCGCGTGTGTGTGTTTAAGTGTGCCTGCTGGTGAAAGACGAGGAAGGAGGGAGTGCAGGCTGGACACCTCAGGAATGCTTTTTACGATAACAAGTTCCCTCAGCTCACTACAGCTCTGTTGTACAATTGTGTGTGTTTTACTAGTTACACTTTCTGTGTGTGTGTGTGTTTGTGTCCTGTGGGAAGGGAGTTGGATTGGCCATGCGTGTTTTGCCGTCTTGTCTATGTAACATTTGCAGAATATGTTCAACATGTGCAAGAAACACAAATACACATGAAGAAAAATGTCCTTTTATTCCACATACTTTAATTTCAGGTGCTGTTAAAATTGTTTCCTGTATCAGATTTCTTTTTGTCTCAAGTGCAGGTGCACACTGCAAACACCCACTCACACAGTCACATTGCTACCTGTGGCGTCTGACTCCAGGTCGCTCCTCATGCCTCGTGTGCATCATCAACGCAACATTACGCAACAGCAGAAACCGGTGCTGATTCGGATGTAGTTCTCTCTGTGGGCCGCCTCATTAAACATTCAGAGGAACATTTAAAAAAAAAAACTCTTCTGCCGCTCGGCTCCCACTGGCCTCGCCGTAAGAGGAGTAAATTAAATTCAGTCTGTCCAGTGGGTTTGAAGTCAGATGGAAGGATGGCATTTGCAGTGCAGCGTGGCCGCAGGTGGTGCTTTGTGAGCCCTGACATCAACTTCACAGGCTGAGCTGAAATCCTATCTCTGGATGATTTCTTTTTTTTTGGCTGATCCCGTCTGTCTGTCTGTCTGTCTGTCTGTCTGTCTTTAGTCAACTCCGGAGACGGCATCGACTACAGCCAGCAAAAGAGAGAGAACATAGGTGATTTGATCCAGGAGACTCTGGAGATGTTCGAGCTCTACGGGGGAGAGAACGCCTACATAAACATCAAATACATGGTGCCCACCTACAGGTCCTGCTTAAACAACTGATTAAGCTGACACTGCACAGACTCTTGACGGCTCTGTCAGTCCCTCTTTATCTGCCCCTCACCTCTAAACGAACCTCTTATCTCGTGCCTTTTTTTTCCATCCTGGTTCTCTCCTAATCCTAATCTCAGCCTCACTCCATGGTTTCTCCTTTTGTTTCTGAACCCCTCTCTGCTCTGTAGCATAACCTTTTTATTTTTAAAATCCTTATTAAATTCATTGCTGCAAGTCATGGGGTATTTCCCGTCTTGTCTGGATCTGTGTATTTATCACTATAACTTGCAAAGAACAAATTGGCCTCATTAAAAAGCGTGCAGTATGTTTAATATTATCCATGAGTTATGACGGCAGTGATTTGTTTTGTTGGCTCATAAGGAATTCTTGATGCATGTGACTTTTGTTCCAATCACAGATACTCCTTAGATGGAAAATGTGACAAAAACTCCTTTAAAATGTTTAAAAAAAAAATTTTTTAGTTTATAAATCAACTGTTGATTTAACTGCACTGTGAAACAATTTAAAGTGTCAACAGGACCTCATAAACCAGCCCTACAACATTTTCTGCCCCCCTGGGACCCCTAGAGGGTGTAAGCACATCTTTAAAAAACACATTTAAGGCGTAACTTGGATTATATCCTCTCTTTTTTTTCATAAACTAAATGAAGGACTTTTATTTCATCTGCTTGAAAGAAAACATGGCGCAGCTTTGAATCATTTAAAAAGATGCTAATGGAGCCTGAGAGGTACAAAAAAAGGAGAGAAGTGATGCAGGCCCAGTCGTCTCTTTTGTTTCGACTCATAAAGTCGTGAACATTTGCACTGTGTTCTGTCCCGTTTTACAACTGCTTCTGTTCACAACCGCGCTGCGTTGTGTTGCATTGTCTCGCACTAGTGTACCCATTCTGTCACAAAAACCCAGCTGGAGACAGAGCCTGTCTAAACACGCAGAGGAAGACGCGCAGGAATGATGGCCGACAGCATTCCTCCAGACAAACACACACACACATATTGGTTAACATGCTTTGAACTCAAAAAACCTCACAGTGCATCTCGTGTGTGCAAGTGTGTTTGTTTGTGCGCATGACAACATGTTTATTTGTATTTATCCAGACCAGACAGTAAGTCCACAGATGGCGTCTTTAACCAACTTTTTATCCATATGGTGTGCAGATTGAAGCTGCTAGCTCCCACCATCCTCTCTACAGCGTTACAGTGGAAACTTCTTTCCAGACACAACAGGATCACACACACACACACACACACTTGGAAGCAGACACACACTTACACATATACATACACAACTCTGCAACCCAACAGGGAAACATAGTGTAATTGATTTCTGACACTCACAAGGACACTCACAGCGTCTCTTATTGTAAGTCATGTCTCCAGCAGAAGCAACTTTACAGGCCTGCGGAGGAATCCATTCTCAACAGGAAGACAGGTTCATAATGCTCATATTTCAGCCTCAGCACATCCTGAAAAGAACGAGACCGAGTGGCTGTTCCACACTGCTGAACCACACGGCCTTGCTGCACTCGCTTTCTGCTGCTTGATCTGTGCAGCTTTAGACGGAAAAAGGAGTGCATGCTTGGTCCTCTTGCTTCCACCCCCCCCCCCCCCCCCCCAACATATTTCAGCTTAAGAAGTGAGGTGTAATAAAACATTTATTGCAACAGCAGGCATGTGAAATATTTTTTTAAAGGCGGTACAATTCCAGCTCTGTTCCTGCTAAACGAGCTGGTCGAACTCTGAACAGTCTGCATCCTACTGTGCTGCATCACCTGTCCAATTTTACTGAGCCACAGGCTAGCAGCTAGCCAGCACAGAAGAAAAGCAGCTTTCACACAAAGGACTACTACAATAAAGAGGAAAGGGAAACGTGGTAAGCAATTTTGTGGATTTTTTCTTCAAATAGCCTCAAAAACTGTTGAATCAGAACCAAACTAGTCTGAATTTTAACACCCTTCTCTCCTTCAGCTTATCATTGCCCTATTCTCCAAGCTAGCATACAATGTCACAGATGCTATAATATGCAGAAACTGCCCAGAGTTCACCTCACTTCCTTGCACTTAAAGGGCCAAGCAATCTGATTGCTTTGGCTCAATTAGGTCACATCACAGGCGCTAATGAGCATTAAATGCTAAATGGTGTCCGTTTCGACCTCTTTGGGGAACTCGCTGAAGCTCATTAAGAGAGGTGACAGTCTGGATAAGAGCGTTGGGAAATATGATCTCCAATCAAGAGCTTGACACACTCGGTTAAAGCACACACACTCACAGACACACACAAATATGAAAATGGAAAAACAATACCATACAACAAACACCATTGTAATTGCTCATGCAAGTAATAGAGTGAAGTGTGAAATGAACAGGAATGGAGGCAGCCAATGAGGTTATTTGGTCTATCAAAGGCATCGACGCATGACTGGCCCGGACCTACAGGCTGGAAAAACCAAGCATGACATTGCTTGAATTTTCTTTCTTATCTCTCTCTCTGCTCAAACATGAAAAAAGGACTCAAAAACAAATCCGGCATAAAGCAGAAATTGTCCCGATCATCACGTTCTAAACCTTTTCCCTGAGTCATAATGAGCAATTGATCATTTTGTGTCTGCCCAAAGAAACACAAAGAAATAAATAGCTTCCCATTCAGAGCATTTCCTCCAGTTATAGAGCTCAGGTTGTAACATCATGCTCTTCTTCCCAACAGCTGATGGTATCTGTCGCTGATAAAGCCACAGTATTATTTTCAGCTGAAAGGATTTCCAAGTTGATATTTGTCTTTTTTTTTGCTGCTTTCTTGTCGATTATGAAAAATCTGTCTGGGTGCGTGTGAGGGCGACAACATGTTATTCAGCCGTTCTGCAACATCCTAGTGCTGCCTTTTGTTAATTTCTCCTCAGGCCAGATACAGAATGAGGAGATTAAGATAATTCTGCTACACATGCCTCAGTTTAGAATTTAAAGTGATGGATTCATGTTTCACTTTCCCTCAGTGTGTGTATTCACATTAGGTACTGTATAACACTCGATGCCAGCTGGATTTTGGAAACACTTTTGTTTACCACTTGGTCCGTCCCCACAGTGATGCATTCTGGCTGTTAAAAAAAAGCAACTTTAACCACCAAGTGTGTAGCATTCCTGCACACCTGCTTTTGTCCCCCAAGGCTGAAAAATGTACCTAAAGGTTAGCACTCGATGCTGAATGGATTTGGAAGAAACCTTCAAGTATCAATTAGTCAATGCAGATGTTTCCTTAACCTCGGGTGTTAAAACTTGAAGCCAACACTGAAGTGCAAAAAACTGCAGTTCTCAAAGTGTCCACCTGGGGCTGCACGCAAAATCCAAACTGTATTAAATTCTAATTATTACAGCAGAAATAAACATGTTTACAGCCTGCTTAAAAAACAATTTCGGTTTTAATGGTCTGTCTATATTTAAAAAAGTTGTACCAGTGGGCACGATGTAATGGTTTGTCAACCCGCCTCAGCTCCAGCTCTCAGGATTTCCATCATGGCGGCTGCCACAGATGAGCCTCCAAAGCCCCCTGCAGTAACAGATGGGTGACGTCACTCATGCTTTGTTTATGAAGATTTACAGTCTGTGACGTTGACAGACAGGTAGGCACATTGTTGCTTTCTGCCAGGAGGACAGAGGCCTGAATCAGCTCCACCTCTTGGCCTTTTTTTCAAGATTGATCAAAAGTTAGGTGGAGATTATATTTCCAACATGGCACCCACCATCGTCCAGCTTCAAAACACTGGTGACATTACTGAGACTACGTCCGTGTTTCATACAGTCTATGGTTCAGACACCAACTTAAACCATCAAGTGTTGAACATTACTGCTCACCTGCTGGTTGTTGTTGATCACCTAAAGCACCACTTGGAAGTCTAACTGTGTTCCAAAGTTACCACACCAGCGTTAACCACTGAGTGTGTAGCATTCCTGCACACCTGCCTTTGTCCTTACAAGGGTGAAAGAGTGTTATCTAATCCAATGACCTGGCTTATCCTTACTCTTCAATGCAACTGGACTCCAAGGGTCAACTCCAAACGACGTGGGGCTGGTGGGCACTCGTTCAGCTCTGGGGTTATTCTTAGCCTAGCTAGCTCAGCCTCTCACAACAGCTGCCACTGCCCTGCAGCCAGCAATAACTCCCACTGAGGAACACATGTGAGCCATTTCACTGATGGAAACACAAAGCATTGCACCCACATGGGAAGATTTATACATCGAATTTTCAAACAGCCCTCACAGATCAACACAGGCCATGACGCAGACAAGTGTTTACATGCGTGTCTGGCTCGTATCCCACCAGCTTCAGGTTGAGCCGTTATCTCTGAATGAACAGTGACTTTCTGAAAGCTGGCTCCACGGAGCTCAAGTTTGTCCTTGTGCATCTCCGTCTCACCACATCACAGCGGTGGCAGGCCAACAAAGGCTTTTGTATTGCAGGGAGCTGTGCAACAAAAGCTACACAAGCGCGCGCCGATAGCGTTCTGTCGACGGAGGGGGAAAAAGAGATTGAGGAAAAGTCGAGAAAAAGGCTGAGACGGAGGAAGACAATTATGGAAAAGAGAAGGCGGCGTGAAACTGTTTTGGAGTTTGAGAGCGAGAGCATGTTGAATAAAGAGAATACAAGAGGAGATACATCGCGAAACCCGGCGCTTAGAGAAATGAGAGGAAGGAGAGGACTGTGTGGGCCGCGTCAGGATGGATGGATAGAGGGAAGTGGGATGTTGTGTCACCTGCTAGAGAGAGCTGTCTAGCGCCGTCCAGACCTTAGATTTAGGAGCAGTCAGCTGCAGAGAGGAATAAGAGACCAAAGAAGAAGAGGCGGAGGGGGTTGGGGCTCCACACTGAACCATTTGGTAATCTGTTTTTCTTTCACAAGTGAAAAAGGAGGAAACAACTGGCACTTATAAACATCACCACGCTTCCTTATTTGAGCAAACAAGCTGAATGTGACTGAATCAATTTAGTCATGCATGTAGTGAATGTTTAAAACGATCAAAGTTGGGTTGTTTGTCGCATGTCATAACCTTGTGTACTCTGCTACATTTATTAAGCATTCAGGAAGTCATCATCAGTCTTCCTCTTTATCACTTCCTTCCCTTTTCCCCTTTGTCCCCTCTTCTGCTGAGCTGTCTCTCTTGTTCCAGCGTTATAGTCTCAAAAGGCAGATTGTTAGGACCAGCAATGAGGGGATTGTGCTGTGCAAC